ACGCCCTCTCTCTCTCTCTCTCTCTCACTCAAACGCGCGATGTCCTGACTAATGTAGATCTACTGCACTCGCTTTTAACTTGGCACTGCATCCCAAATCAAGATGATTTGAAAAATATGATATGGAAATATGAAAGGAAGCAGAAGTAGATCTAGATTCTAGATCTAGAATTAGATAAGATATGTCTAATCTAAGTCTAATGAATGATAAATTGCAGTGGGTCTCTGTCAACTCTGTGTCCATCCAAAGACCTGAAGATAACAATGAGAAAGTGTTTGGTTGTAATGAATGTTTATTCGTCATACTTTTTTAAAAGAAATGTAACGGGGGTGGGGGGTGGGGGGTACAGTGTAACTGACGCTGCTGATTTTTATGCTTAAATGTTATGGAAATCTTAATTAATTGGAAGAGCCGGAAATGCGCATTTGGGGTGTTAAAAACATTGTTCACCCACATTTATTTTTCATGATTTGAAAAAAAAAGTATCAACTGTAGAAGTTGACATTGGTACAATTATGGTGCAGCTGTTTGCAGTGTGCATGCCTATATCTGTACAATTTTTGCTGCAGGAAAAAAATGTGAAATAATGCTTAGCTCAGGTTGAGCTATATATTGTACGAAAGCGGATCATTTGCATAGTTTCTTATTACACTTATAATTCATAATTATTCACTTAATTAAGAATTAGAGTATACTAAAACAGCTCACACAGCTTTTTTGACAGAAGAGGATGGCTATACATGTATGATGTATGGCTTTCATACATGTACTTTTATTAAATTTTTTCAGTAGAACAGCTACATTTTTTAAATTGACAGATTCGATTATATTATATGCTTGACAGACACCTTTCCTAGTGACTCATCATGTCATGTGCTGTATTGTAAGCTGTGTAGGTTTACGGCTAGTTTGTTTACTATTTTTCAGGAACTGGGAATTGAAGGTCATCAATTTCCTTTATGTGACAGCTAGATACATGTAGTACTCATGGTTTCTTCAATGCACAGTTAAACATCAAGTTAGCCTGCCAATTATGAAAAGCAGGAGCTGATAGAGTTCCACAGACGAGTCAGGCGCTGTTGCTGCTCCCTGCCTCCCCAGTGAGGTGTCTGCAGAGGACGACAAATCTTATAATGAGGCCTCATGAAGTCTAGGCCTACAGCTTTTCTATGATGAAGTTCAGTGCTGATATCTCTCCAAAAAAGAAAAACTGGAGGCTGTTTATTATAAGGGGGGGGGGGGTGTTAATAAATGATTACAGTATTTATAACTGATTCATGAGCAGAAAAAAGAAGAAAATGCTCTAGATTAGAAGTATAGATCTATACAATATGAACCTTTCTCAAAAGTTGGGCATGGATCAAGTACCTCTTTTCCTTCTTCTACATTATTTACTAACGGCACAATGAAGAATTTTAAAAATAAATCAGTCAATTCAGAAATTAACTGTCTAAAACCTCAAACTTGACGAAGCAAGTAGCCTGTCAATGATTTTACAAAGTGTGCTTTGTTATTTTCATTGCATCAGAGAGTGTGTGTCTTTGTGAGGCTTGGTAATGAATACCAAATAAACTTGGGGCTCAAATGAAGGGTACTAAAGTTCATTTTAAAAAAGGCACTAATCATTAAAGCAAGGATACCAAAATGTATTGACATGTGCGTCATCGGGTATGTTGATGGGCATTCTTTTTTTTATTGACATTGACAGCTTTTTAGAAACTCGCCATATTGACCGTAAGAGGGAAAACCTTTACTTTGTATTTCAACGATGTAACATGCATTTCACCATGAATGAAGCTTAATAGCTTTGTGTTTTCATTGCAAGTGCATCTGCTACATATAATACTGTGACAAACATGTAGAGATTAGGAATTACTTTTTTACAGATTAAAAACCTTGTGGCCTTCAAGAGACCCTTCTTGTCCTTGTCAATAATCAAGAGTTGAAGATGGCTTCAAAACTGCTGGCCTATTTTTATTGGGGTTAATATCAGAATTTGTTAGAATTTCCTTCTTTGGCGAAATTTTGGTGAAGGGTGTTTCACAAAAATACATCATGCTTGAATCAAATATTCCACAAAGTATGTGAATCATACTCCAAATGTCACAAAATAAATTACCTTTTATAAAATGTGTATTTTGGTAAGATATTTTGAATCCATAGTCAAACCTTGTGTATACCACTTAATTTGGGACAAACTTAAAGTTGGCGCTACCACCATGGATGGCGGTATAACAGGATAGCAATATTTAATTGCCATCTTGACTAGAGATAGACTGGAAAACGCAAGAGACTAGAGACAAACTGTGGCCAGCCTTGCCTCAAGTAGATCTGTCTTGTGCAAATCCCATGCTCACGGAAAAATAAACAAGAAGCAATCAATTACATGTATTATAAAGCTCCAGCATAATGTCAAATTAAAAAGAAGCTAGGATCAGAAGCTAGGCTACTGATCTATATGTTTCAAAGACACCCCAGACATACTGTTTTTAAAAAGTGAAATCCTCCGGTCGCCTTAGACCTGTTATGTAGGCCCTCACAATGTAAAAGTAAAAGCCTCAAGGGCTGAAATCTGGCGACCCCAGATATTTTATCGGCAAACCAAGGTGCAATTACGCCGTAGTATACCTCTTGGCCAATTCTCTTGCTGTATATCAGGGCAAATCTACATTAGTTTAATAAGGACAGTACAACTCAGAGAGTTGGCGGATGATGGTGTAAAGGCATAAATATTATATAGGCGGTCATTTTCGTGCAATAGCAAAACCTGGCTGTATGCGGGCTGGTGGTACAATGTGGACAGTATGAGGTTTGACTGTAATTGATTTTGTAAAATCCTAAACAGTCCAGGAATTTTTTCATCATAAAAAATAAAACGTCATATTCAGTCTCCACACAATACAAACATTTTTCAAGAAATATAACAGTCTGCTAGTGCTACAGATGAGCCGATGTGGTCAACAGAGTGAAAAATAGATCAACTCTTCATCCAAAGGTCAACTTAACCATAGAGGGAACTGTAAAGAAGAAGAGGTGCTTCGACGCGAGAAAAAGATAACTGAAGATCAGCTCAAGTGAGTTCAACACAAGTGGAGTCAACTATGTTATGAATTTCTTCTACTTTCATTATCTGCAACCTTAAAGAAATGGCAGCTACAAAATTTTTTTGTTAAATATAGGTGTTTTTATGCCCCCATTGACACAATATAAGATAATTTAGGAGACAGGCTTCTGACCCTTCCTTTCGAGGTCAACCCGGCTTTGATGGATACATCCCAGTAGTAATAAGACCAAGATACTTGATAAAAACTTTCTCCCCGTTCAAGAATTCATCTCGGGTCTCCTGCTTGCGACAGCCATGCGCCTAAACGCTGCACCCCAGATACTGGTCGCCAAAGCAGATTTGAGGATAAAGACAAAAGTCTATTACAGTGCCAATTTAGTTTAGCAAAACGAAATATGCATTATTATACTTCTCAGTTATATCCCTTCACGAAATCAGCCACACATCCCTAATTATTGACATCATGATCATGGATCAATATAATGTGACTATGAAGCTCTAGATGCTTGACAAAGGTGCAGCAGATGATGGAGAAACCAAAAATCAACTAATCTTGAAGGAGAACTAGGTCTACATATCAAGATTATATTGCATTCATGATTTCAATGTGATACAATGTGCAGTTCTGAGCACATAAGGGAGAAAAACGTTTGACATAGTGGGTGGCTCTGAGCATTTTAAGAGGTACCGGTAAAAGTAAAAGAGAATCATCAAAGATAGCCTCCTCCATTCTCTCCAGTGAAATGCCACTAAAAAAGTAAAGTTGTTCCCGCATCCGATCCGGACAACTTCCTGGGCCTTCGGCATATTGTGGTAGGGAGGCCAGTTCCTTTTCACACTGCCTTCACTTCCCCAACTTGAAATCAGATACCCATTACTGTTGGGTGGGGAGGAGGGGGCGAAAAAAATGCGTGTCCAAACTGAGGCTCGAACCCGGACTTTTCACTTCGGAGACGAGCGCACTAACAGCTCCACCACTGCACCCAGTAAGCAATTGGAATAAGGTCTCATGATGATTAGGCTAGTCTGGGTGTAGAAACGCTCTGTTACTTCACATTTATTGAAACATGTACAGATGGGTCCTTTTGAAAGTAGCATTGAAATAATATTTTGGACAAGCTCTTTCACCTTGAGATGTATATATAGAAAAATCAAATGTGTGTTGTGTAGAAGCTAGGAGCTTCACCTTGCACCCAAAAGATATTCCAGGTTCAAAGCAAAGTGCCTCCAGAATGATCTAATTCTAAATGGTGCTGATAGAGGTGTCAAAGTCAAAGTAAAACATTTTTACTGTTCAACTGATCTAGAGAAAACAACAGCTGAGTTTTTATTCTCTGGTGCACTTTTATAGATTTCCAAAAGGTTTCTCACTGAAAATGTTTTATGCTCTGTCGCAGAAAAAAAATGTGGTTCTTCTTATCACCTCACCTGATTTCCAACGTTATTGTATAATTTGTCTTTTTTTTATGTAGTTTTTTTTTTTTATTCAACGCTCCATCCACACAATTTGGGTCATTTAGAAGATGGGCTTCCACCCTGTCTGCCAGGGCAAACTCAGGCTGAAAGGGATACAACATCCCAACAGAAAGACCAAGATACTTTAAAATAAAAATTTTCCCAACTCAGGAATCCAACGAGAGTCTCCTGCAATTAATTGCAACATCCAAGATGCCAGTTAATTGTCTGTTACTTGGCAAGAGACTTGAAATTCTTTTGCAGACACGTGGTTTATTTTATAGTGCAGGCATTTTGCTCTTTTTTAAACACCCTGTATTGCTTTATCATGACAATCAATTACTGTAGATGAAACTTTTCACAAACTGAAAGTGTGCGACCTAAACAGCTGAAAGTAAAGATATTCCTTTGGGTTTTAAAAAATATACTACATATAAAAACTGAAACAAGATCCCAAACAATCATTGTGATGCTCTTACTGTCAACGAAATTGATGTGTGGTTGGAGGGAACCAATGATTGATCCTACTTTTTATTTTCCTCTCCTGTCACCGAGTCACTGATAGTCTCCTGGCCTTTGTTTCTTCGCTGAATGGACATTATCATGTCAATGTTCTTCTTTATCCTAAACAAACTAAACCAACCACAAAGGAGTCTGTCAAAGAAGGAGCGAATTGGGGAAAGGGTGGGCATAAATCTTAAAACATTTGGTGTATAAGCCTACTTCTGGTGTAGAGCACTTTTTCTACAAAAATACAAGTCTACTAGTACTACTAGGCCTATCCCTCTTTTCCTGCATATCTGAGGACTAACTGACCATTGTCTTTCCATGATCTCCTTAAAGTTGCTATACAGTACAGTTAAACTGAAAACAGCTCAAACCTAACCAAACAGAAAGCTGGGCACTGAGACTTGAGTTGTTTTCAGTCTAACTGTATATATGATGATATCATATTATTTAAATGCACTATAGCATGCACATATAGCCACCATGCACATCATATAGCAACAGATTTTCATGTTCCACATTTTGTTCTTATACTTTGATATATATATATATATTCTTCGTCTAAAACACGGATTGTACAAAACGAAAAGATTTCTATCTCATGCCAATTTTGCTACCAATGGGATTGCTTGATTGTATGGCCTATTGTCCCTGTAGAATTAATAAAGCTCTTGTGTTTTGCCCTCTAAGTGGCCATACACTGGGCGGGGGGGGGGGGGGGGGGTGTTTAGGGACTATTTTTCAGTAACTCACACTATATTGAATACTCAGAATAGTGTTTTTAGTTTAGGAGAGAGAATAAGGAATAATTAATAACTTAACTGGAAAAGCCTGCTTTCCTTTGATATATATATATATGTATTGAAAAGGCATCTTTGACTTGCACAGGGGCCCTCTGAATTTTTAAATCTAAGAAACAGTGCTCCATCTCATCCACCCTTGAGTCTTGAGTTATAAACCTGAGAAAGAAAACCTTAGTCATTTACTGACCATACCTTCATGAACCTGGCACAGTGGCAGGTGTGCATGTACTGGGAGTATTTAGGCATGAAAAGCGAGCACTTTGCCTCTAAGCCAAGGAACCCATTCAGGCCTCTTATGTTAGTGTCAGCTTACACAGACCATTCAGCTGCTTGCAATCACCCAAAATAGAATTTTGACATGTGTGTGCACACTGTTATAACAGAATCAAGAATCAACCTGGTGCCAGAACCCAGAAAGTGACCTGAGGCAAAATCTCCAGGTACTTGCACAGTATTTTAGATTTATGTAAAGTCAGGCAATTCCAACTGCGCTCTCTATACAGGCCTTCTTTTTTCCCATGTGCTCCCTATAAGATGGCAAGAAGTACCAACGAAGCACATTTTCACCTCTTTTGATCACAGACAAAGAACAAATTCCTCCACAAGCTACTAACTGGAAGACGCCTGAAAGGACCAGAAGGAGTAGACCACAAGTTTCCAATATTGGATTGGCATAAAGTATATTTATTAAATTTTACCTAGGGACAATTTTATATGTACAATCAGGTTTGGTGATGCTTTTACACAATGACCCATGCATAATCTGCTGACAATACATGGTTCTGTACATTTTTGTGAACATGCACACACTGAATATCTCATTCTCGGTATTCAAGAATCCACTGTCATGTTTTTAAAAAAGTTCACGTTAACTACACATTCTGTAACTTCAAAAGTCATTTTCACAATGCCACTGAAAGCAAATTCAGAGCTGCACAGAAGAGACAAGTATTGCAAGAAGAATCCTGTAGGAACTTTAATTGAAGTAATACAACCCCCATGAATGCAGGTGAAAATGACAAACACCTTTAGTCGTAAAAAGTCCATGATAAAAAGATCTTTCACAAATTCGTTATCCTTGGATATCAATATACACAAAAATGTTATTCCATCTTTTAAAAATATTATGAAAAGATTTTCATAACAATTCATTGCAAAAAAAACTAGAACAAATTTAAGGCTCCTTGAGAGTAAATGTCTTCTAGACTACAAATGCTTGTTCACTTGTCAATGTATTCTTGAATACAAATCTAAATACATTGTGATGCGTAAGTTTTGCAGCTTTAATGAGTACAGATTCATTAATAGACAACAGGCTGTCCTTCCTCAAGTTATTTGTTTATTCCAAACAACCTTCAACAACACGTCTATGTCAAAAGGTTACCACTCTAAACCCTCCCTGTTGTCACATACAAGATTGTTCCTGGAGCCTGAAATCTCAGTGTCTTGAAATAAACATTTTAAAAACATTCATGTTGCATCCATAAAAACATTCCAACAACGACAAAATCAACAAACTTGTGTACACTTTTTCCACATTTCACTCATTGCTTCATACCAATAAAATTCAGGCGAAACATATACTTTGAGAGAAATGACAAGGTCTTATCATTCATACATCTTCCTCTGAAAAAAAAACAAATGAAAACCTCTAAAGAATGAGGTACATCATCACACCTGCAATGATATTGAGTAATTCCGAACACAGACCTCACAAAAGAAGCACAAGCATGCCAAGTTCATCGACAACCACTGAGACATTCCTTCCTCTTTCAACACACCATTCACTACCAACTAATTCAACAACTCACTCATAACAAGACACAATCATAGCAGAATGTATGTGAGGTTTGATTAAAATGAGAAAAACATGTACAGAACAAAACAGTTACATATTTAGATGTATTTCATTGAGGAATCTGTATATTATATATATGGAAGTACGGAAATTGCTGTCCCTCCATCGCTGGGTCTTATGCTGCCCTTTTAGTTCTATTTTTATGTCCTGGGCAAAATAATGATCCTCAAGGAGTTCTTAATCATGTGTCAGTGGACTACCAAAACATCAAACTGTCCTTTAGCTTTTATTTTCATTTGTTTCAGACATTGTTCCTATTGGTTCGATTCTGATTGGAACCTGAATGTATATACAAATGATGACGGGGGGAAAAGAAAAAAAAAAACCAAATACATGAAGGTTACATTATTTCTTATTTTGCACGGGTAGGTAAAGCTTGAATTCTGCTGGCAATTCATCCTCTGAATATAATCTGTCCGAGAAGTAGACTCGGCGAATCCTGCAGTTTGCATGGATCTGAAAAGGAAGACAATTATTCTATTAGCCTATTGAAGAATGCAAATAAACGTAACAGCTCGCCATTGTCTAAAACATTTTCTGCTCTCAGATAATGTAATCCAAAACTCAAAGAATAAATCTTGCAGATTTTAAAACATTGCTTGTGAAAGTTATGATACTGTTCATCACAAATTAGAAAAACGATCTTATAAAATCTCATAAAATTTAAAAACTAAAAAGTTTCAAATTTTCCTTGTTCTTCCTTTTATTCAATTTACAACAACAACAAAAACACTGACAAAATGTTTAATCAAAAGAACTTAAAGTCCTAAAACAAAACTTTTCTCAACCCGCTTAATGCCAAGGGTAGAAGCTGGGGGGTCGAGAGTTTGAGGAAGATTAAGAATTTCCAGAACTACGAGCATTATTACCTCAAGGGGGTTTAAAAAGCCATAAAGTAGAAGTAAATAAGGAAGCAAACAGTAAACCAAGCTCTGACAACTAAATGGGACGAACAAACAGAAAATGTGCTTGGTCTCCAAGCTAAACTTAGTCATGCCGTTTTTGCCAAGTTCAAGAACACTGTCATTTGAATTGTCATATATCAATTAAATTTTATCCATTAAAAAATATCTTTGCTAATTTAAAAACCTTTATTGCCTTTAAATATAGACAGTTAACTCGGAATAATTCAGCAGCACATGAGTGACAAGTAAACTTTTCTGTATTTACCCATTTTCATGATGTACCAAGTACGTCATAAGGCAACAAAAGAGTTAATGGTTGGAAGTGTCTGTTGTAACCCCTTTATGATGGACAGACAGTTTTTCCAGACGGTATATCGGATAGTCTTTAACTGGGCCCTTTCTCTTGCAAAAGAGAATTTTAACTTAAATGTCAGGCAAACAGATGCCATATCCTTTCATCAGTCCCTTCATTACAACATTGATTCATGATATGAACAGCCATATTTCTGTACACCAGAAAGAGTAGCCAGGCGTAAAAACTCACCTGCACTCGGAGTGTCTCAATGTAATTGGTGCCGTACGCTCTCCTTGTGAAGTCAGACAAGTTGAACTGAATCTGGTTCCATCCATCGTCCAGTCTCATAGGCATTGTGCAGATGAAAGGCTTCACTCTTGTTGTACTCTGGTAATTGCTGGCACGGAATCGTCTCCTCACATTCTTGTCATCTAAAACCTGTGCAAAAAATATAAATGAAAATGTCTCATAGAGAATCTTAATTCTTTTTCATTTTTCTGAACCATGCACGTCACAAGATACTTCAGTTTGATTAGGAGAGATGTATGCACAGCAAAAGAGTTAATTTGGATTAAAGTTACTGATCCTATTCCTGTAAAAAATATATAAATAATATCCTACAAAACCACCTCAAAGATTATTTTAATCTAATAAACAAAGATCAAGTTCACACAAAACATGTGACTTTAAGTTCCATGTATCAATGCGACATGGTGGTGCACAAACTGTAGAAATAAGAAAGACTTATCTTGCTCAAGAACAACCAAAGTAAGAGTCATTTTTAACCCTATCCGTACGCTGTGTTTTACTATCGTATCCATACGACGTTGGGAACTCTGTGCCACCACTTTCAAAGAAGAATTTTACTCGTTAATCCAATCCGTACGCTTTGCATAGCAGTCTGTCAAAATGATTTCTTGAGAAATACAGAAAGTTTCAAAGAGATCTTCGTACTATAAGTATTCTAAAATGTGAAGAATACAACCCCGGGGGTACCAAATGACCCCAGGGCGTACGGATAGAGTTAAACTACAGAATACAGTGGCAAATCTTGCTCATAATACCAATGAACTCTTCCAGCTCCTGTGATCAAAATGATTCAATAACCTGTCAAAACAGTATCAATATAGCAGCGTTTTGTTTGCAAGAGGGCACCTAACAAGTGACAAAATCAGTGCACGTTAAATGACATCATGTTTAGTTCAAATATATAACTTTCAGTGATTTAAAGAAATAAAGACTATTCTCCCAATAATAAAGGAAAATGGAAGAAAATATACTACTCAAATTTGTAAATGGAAGGAAAAGTAATAAAGCTTCATGTCCTTACCATGACTTCAAACGTGAAGTACTTTTTCAAGTTTTTGATGATCATAACCAGGAATGGCAATTTAATTCCCAACGTTTTCCGAGGGTCAGCAGGGCAAGTGATGTATGTAGTACTGAAAAAAATACCAAAAAGATTAAGTCATATTGTCTAAAACTTACTAGATCATTTTTTTCCCACTTAGAATTACCAAGGCAATAAATCTAGACCTCTCTTTACCTAGCACTATGGACTAACATTAGTTCTACTTGACTACACAATAGCTCATGAATGTTTCACAAACATAAAAGAGGTGGGGGCTAGGGGGAAATAAGTTGTATGTAATCATGTAATAGTGATATTACATATTTTCTATTAATCCCAGTGAAAGGACTTTATCCAAAATAAATGTGTTTAGTTGGGGGGGTTTTCTTTGAGGGAGAGTCGATTTTGTTCTATTGCTGCAAATTAAGACCCAAAGCAATGTTCTGAATAAAATTTGCACCAAAAATTGGCACTAAAACAGTAAACCAAACAGGATATATCAAATTTTCATTTACCTGACATTTGTGCCAACAATTTCCAACACCAGAGACTGGATATCATTATCTGTGATACGTTTGATGTGACCATTTCGGACCTGTAAAGAAGAACAATTGTTGACAATAAACAACTTACAACAAAGGTAACAGACAGGCAACCATCTGTCTGAGTCAGTGGCAGTAGTGACAATGCCATGTTCATCAGAAACATACAGACATTATCATACATTTGTAATTTGGAACAGAGATGTATGATTCATCAATATAATTGGAGCTAATTGCATGAACTTAAAATCAGGATTGGCCCCCTACATTTGTTTTCAAAATTATGTTTTGAAAGATTGTATCATCTGTTACATCCTCGTCACTCATAAATATTGACATTTTATAGATCTAGTTGAACTAGTCCGCAGTTGCCAGGCAAGACCCACATCACCATGTCACTGAATATCCAAAAAGGTCAATATTCACTAATGTTTTTAGTTTTTAGTTTTAGTAAGATTTTACAGCACTCACAACTGCATAAAGTCATATGAGCGCCAAGGGGTGGATGTCAACTGAGAAGTCCAAAATTGGAATCAGGCTTACTCTGCTCACCTCTCTAGCCTCAACAGCACAAAGTCTGCTTCGACTATCAAGGCACCCCAGAAATAAGTTCACAAGAGAGTGACAAACATACAAAAGAAGTACAGGAAAATGACGATAGCAAGGATGAGGGGAAAAAAGCAGCAGTTCCCCAATGTCGTTCCGGTACAATATGAGCATGACATATGTATAAAAATCAGTCTATTTACAATTCTACTGTGCATAAAAGCATGTTAATATCCCCCCCCTTGGGAATGGTCTAAAGACAAATTCATTCAGTAGCACTGCCCAGGTGGGGATCACACAAATGTTTGTTTGAAAGTTAACAAACTACAGTGCCAAATAAGAATTATAGATTCTAGATTTAGCTCTGCAAAACTTAAATGTGAAGCGTGCTGACAAAATGAGTTACTTATCGGATTCAAGCCTTAAGGAAATAGATAGAATCTTGATACATCACGTTTATAATTATAAAGGTGAAGTTTTTAGTGAGAATTGCGAAAAGTAGATTTCTAACTCATTTTGTCAGCATGCCTCACAAATATTTCCTTGACCCCTCACTCTGTGAACCCTAGCAGCCATTGTTTACCCCTCACAACCAGTTAGCAACATGGCTGCCAAAGAGCTTCCTCTCTCATTATCAGAAGCCAGGGATAAACTCCTTGACAACAATGAGCAAAGATTCTAATTCTAGATCTAGACGGAAATTTAAAACAACTGTGGTATGGAAATCTGAAGGGGTGCATTTTTTGTATGCAGGTAGCTATGATACCTAAAATATTCAGGGGGCACTGAAGTTATGGATCTGGAAGGTGGTCTGTATTATTGTCAATACTATTGCAGCTTTTTTGGTTTAAAAAAATATATGTTCTTCATCTAAAGATGAATCATGGACCTGGCACGGACTTGTTTGTGGAACCAGATTTACTAGAACGTGGCTTTCATACTCTCAAAGCCAGTAATAACCATCATTGTGAGAATGCCTATCAGGATTCCCAACCAGATGTAGAATCTTGATCGTTCATAGAACAAAGCGCGCAAATAAAATGGAGTGCAAGCATGGCAGAGATTGAAACTCAAATTCTTCAGGTCTTACCTTTTTGTCCCAAATCTGTAGAGGTTTGCTGCCAATACTGTAGAGTATAGACAAGAACCCACTTTGAAAAGTATTCTTGAACATTTTGGAGCTTCAAGACGACAAAGAATACAGACAAACCACCTCCAGTCTTTTGAGACAGCCCTCTCGCTCGATGTTTTAGTAGTCAAGTGAAGTACACTCGCCGTGAAAATCAACTTAACACGTTGTTAGGGGACTTTTCCTGCGAGGCGTATAGATACATGTTGCCACGGGTTGTAGAGACCGGAAATAACTTAAATGTACGCTAAACCGTTGTCTTTCTTATTTTCATATTCTGTTTAAGATATTATATTTTAATTATTTTGATTATAAATAGTAAAAATGTTGTTTGAGACGATTTTCGGATGAATATAAAGTAATGTTTACTGATTTATATTTGCGCTTTCATGAATGAGTGGTACGCCTCTTCTGACTTCCGCTTTCTTCCCTCGCAACAAGCGTCGCTTGGTCTCGGGTGTATCCGCGGAAATCACTGTCGCGTGGTCACGAGCACAGCAGCGGCAACAGTGAGTCGACACTCGACACGCCGATCGATCAGACCGTGTTGGGCCTGTGCTAGGGGATGCACAAAAACAAAAATGCATTCTTAAGCTTGCTATGTGACCGCACCCATACTCTTCTTGATTCATTGGATCCTCGAGATCTGACTTCAACTTCAATTCGTATTTTAATCTAAGGTCTATAAGTGCTAGATCTACATCTATAAAGGAAAGGGAGGGAGGTGTCGAGGCGATTGAAGCAAGGCGACTTCACAACTTTTTGGCATTGGTAGTATACGTGCTGCTACTGCTAAAGCCCCCCCCCCCCCCCTCCCGTTCTTTCTTTCTTTCTTTCTTCTTTTTCTTCTTCTTCTTCTTCTTCTTCTTCTTCTTCTTCTTCTTCTTCTTCTTCTTCTTCTTCTTCTTCTTCTTCTTCTTCTTCTTCTTCTTCTCTCTCTCTCTATCTCTCTCTCTCTCTCTCTCTCTCTCTCTCTCTCTCTCTCTCTCTCTCTCTCTCTCTCTCTCTCTCTCTCTCTCTCTCTTTTCTATATATCTATCTATCTAGTTTTAGTGCCTGTGTTTACTTTGACTGGTTTTCTCTGCTGTACCGTTATGCAAGTACAAGTAGAGGCCCGGTGCATATATACGATTAATTTCCAGGTACGCTGCTGTTAATATTAGCCTACGAATTGTTAACATACGATCTGAACAAGTCAGATAGCATGCATAACATTGCCAGTGGCCAATAACATTTTACTGGTGTTTATTACCTAGGGTCAAGGGATATAGATAGGCTAGTGGGTCAAGTAAGGTAACCGGACCTGTGAACTGTAGGCCTAATTGTTGTCCTGCTCGCAGAAAAACGATATTACGTAAACCATTTTTCAAAATAGTAAAGACCCGGTGCATAAGCGTATGATTTCAAAGTTCTTTTTCTTCAAAATTTATTGAAAACGAAAAGAACGGAATTAAGTGGTGAGCTTGGGTATGGTGAGTTTGTTAATCGCAAAACGCAAGTTAGATTCAAGCTTTCAAAGAATTCTTTTAAATGGTGATGCTACAGAAACTGTTTTCTTAATTTTTCGCCGATAAAGAAAAGTAAATTTAAAGTTCTACGAAAGAGAAAAGGAATATACCTAGATCTACAATACATCATGTACATACTATTCTAAGAAATTACGGTTTTTAACTACATAATGTAACTATATACGGTGAAAAATCCATACACTCTCTCGATCTATAATATTAAATAATATTGTCTGTCTGTGAATGATTTTGTGAGTAGATCTATGTAGGGACCACACGGCCCCCTAACTACTGTTTCGTTTAAATTGAGCACGAAAAAGAGTTTGTATGGGTGTGTAGAAGACATTATGACAATCGTGGTACTCTCATAGCATTCTTTTTCAGTTTTCCTCTTGCACTTGTTTCTTTCTTTATTGCCCACTTACACAGAATTCTACACTAAGTGTCGAATTCTGTGCCCGCTTATTAATAGCAATAATAGCCACAGTACAGCGAGACCTGATCACACACTGCTCATCCGTAAAAGGACCAGCCGCTCTGATGACAAAGGCAATTAAAGTTTAGATGAACAAGCGCGTGATATTATATGTTTCTGCAAGTATCGTTTCTCTGTTCTATTTTTCTCTTCCTCTGTTTCTTTACTTCTTTTTTTTTTTCTCTTTGTTATTTTGTCCTCGGGCAACAATTAAGCAAGGTAGGGGCCTATCTATTCATCGAAATGTTTCATTTACGTGAAACTGGATAATACAAGAACAAACAAATTATTTTTGTACAAACGTTAATTGTTTGCCCCAACTTACACAGCTGAGGCTGTTCCCTTGACTTGGCGTTATGTAACTGAATACACGTACACAAAGTATGTGGGTGCATTGAATTACATGTGAGACCACGGATGAAATGTTTTGAATGTCCGTACGGAACGCATAATTTCTTTTTTATCATTAAGCTCCCCAAAGACGGCAATCGCCAATCTGTACAATTTGAATTATCTGTCGACGACGACTGTACTCTAAGGTACCGAATAAGCGGCGGTCCCC